ACCTCCTTGTGTGGATTTTGTATTTTTTAAAAAAATTATGAAGAATTTATTAACAATTTAATGTATGTTTCTCTTATGTCTGGAATCCATAGAAATAATTTGTATTTTTTTTAAAAAAATTGGCATATATTTATGTTACTTTCCAAATTACATCACTCTGTCCAATAAATTACGCTAAAAATCACTGTAAATATAGTGATAAGGTGGTGTAAATATAGTTATAAGACAGTGTAAGCGAATGAAAAAAATTTAGTTGATGAGAAGGGTTAAAATAACCGGTAGTTGGCTAGACATCTCCTCCGGTAAAAGCCCCAGTCAAAAAGTAGTTTTTGGGCTACTGCTAGAGTTGGTTTTGACGGCCATGGAGTTTTCAGTGGCCTGCTCATCTGGCTAATTCCTCGCGTACGTGTCCTTGTATGTTCTCCCATGCCCTGCCATCGGCTCGCTGGATTTCTGGTTGCATCTCGCCCGAAGGAGAAAGAGGGCAAGCATGCATGATGCACAAGAAACACCATTACGTTGCCGTGGTGTGCCGGTAGGCATCGTCAAACGTCAATTCGTGATTTCGAGGTTCGACAGCTACCTGCTGCCCTGCAAATCATGGTGTCCAAATGTCGACGCGATTATGCTTCATATTAGTAATCCGTCCCCCCAGCCATGCACACGACAGAAAATAGAACAGTGAGGACGGCTGCAGGTTGGTGCTTTTCGGCCTGTGCCGTCTTGGGAAATCCGGTGATTTTGCGGCTTTGTGCTCTGCAGTCTGCACCCGTACCACGTTATCGCGGTACATGCACGACGAGTGCATTAGCCGTGATCGTAGGTGGCTCTACCTCTAGTCCTCTACCCAGCCGGCCGGCGTGATGACTAAGGAGACAGGAGAGTGATGAGCAGCACCAATGCTCGTGCATCCGTGGTGGCATGGTCCCCGGTCCCTGGAGTAACTGAGATGAAGCATCCGTTTTGGAAGTTAAGCTTGCGAGATGACCAGCAATGCGTTCCTTTTGTGGACTGTGGAGTATGCGACTATGCGAGATGAGGAGCATCCGAGTGCTTGACACTTGAAAATCCTTTCGTGACGATGTACCTGTCCCCCTCCCCCCAAGCTGTTTCAAACAAGAAGCAAGAGCCCAAGAGCCCAAGAACCATTACCTTCTTTGTCGCGCCTCCCGCTTCCACTCTGGCCCTAGTAGGACCCCAAAGTAGAAAAATTGCAGACTTTCTTCTCGCTCTCGGGCATTCGGATCTAAGAGGCCAAAGGCCCAACTACATTGCGGCCAGGATTTGGTTAACCGGGCCAACGCATTCTATCCTTTGCCGCTTGCTGGGCCAACACCGAATCCACGCACGCCGCCCATCAAAAACCCCTCTCACTGCTTGTATTAAAAAAAAAAAAACTCTCCGCTACCGGACAGCGGCGAGCTGGCCACCGCGGCACCGTCTGCGCCTCTACAGCCCCAAAGTACACCGCTAATCGCCGGTCATGGCCAAGGCTCCGGCGCGCGCCGCCTCCGCCGTGCGGCTCTTCGACGCGCACTGCCACCTGCAAGACCCCCACGTCGCGGCCGTCGCCCCCACCCTCATACGCGCGGCCGCCGCATCCGGCGTCGCACGCTTCGCTGTCAACGGCACCTCCGAGGTGCGCCATCCGCTTCATTTACCTCATCTCATCTCCAGGGTCACGGGCGTACATAGCTCGTCGCTGACTCTTCCCTTAATCGACACGACACGTGCAGAAGGACTGGCACCTGGTGAAGCAGATGGCCGAGGATCACCCAGCCGTCGTCCCCTGCTTCGGTCTGCACCCATGGTGAGAGTTGAGGTTCCCCTGCTTGCCTTTCGCGTTGCTCTGCTGATTGTGTTCTGTGGTCCCATCACTTTGGTAGGTGGGTACCCGAGAGGTCGCCGGATTGGATGAATTCGCTTCGGCGGTTCTTTGCCGAAACCCCGGAGGCGGCTGTTGGGGAGGTGAGCTTTTCTGCCACCCAAAAATTCCAAATCCACCATCAGGTGTAAAGTTGTTAATAAGTCTTTGTGTTTCGCCGGCAATTGATTTGCCGTAAGTCGTAATTATCTGGATCTTCTAAGCTCTAAAGTAAGGCTTCCATAGCAGGAATTTGGTTATGTTATTATGGACTTATGGTCAAGGGATTATCAGATTCAGTAATTGGATACTTGTTCTGGTGCCGCTAGGTAGTCAATTCGGGATTGACACATCGAGTATCCTTTCAATTTCCCATGAGTCATAGTCTTTTTCTTATGTGCCTTCAGGGCCCCTAGACCCCCCTCATCTGCTTTATTATTTTGTTTAACTCTTGTCTTATGTTGACTACTAATGCAGATTGGTCTGGACAAAGGTTCACATGGAAAAACCATCGACTTCGGAGAACAGGTCTGTACTTAGCAATAGCATGAACCCTGCACTTCATGTTGCATGTTGTGTATCGGTTTTGTTAGAAATTTCAGTTGCATGGTAAATGTTGCTATTTTAGCTATTAATGATCTTCTGTTAGTTGTTTGTACACAAATGTGCCCTTTAATTTTTTTCTATATCCATAGGTCCATAACAACAGCAAAATCACAGGTTGAAGTGTTCCAACGACAACTTGAACTTGCTAAGGAATTGGAGAGACCTGTTTCTGTTCATTGTGTGCGGGCATTTGGTGATCTTCTGGAAGTACTGAAGTAAGACATGCTATTTGTTCTTCATTACCATCTACATCCAGTTTGAATTTCGTAAATTGCACTTCTCATGTAACTATGTGGCACACGCCAATTTGTATGCAAGGGATATGGTGATTCTGTTACTTAGAAACCAAGGCCATTGTAGTATTGCCTGTCTTATACACAAATGACTTACTGAGTGAGATGCCCATGTAATGCCTTGTTGCTATTGTCTAATAACATACTTTCTTGTGTTAACATTTGGTCGCCAGGCAAACTGGACCTTTCCCAGCAGGCGTGTTATTACATTCTTATATGGGATCTGCAGAAATGGTGTCTGGCCTTGCAAATTTAGGCTGTTACTTTTCACTATCTGGCTTCTTGATAGGCATGAAATCCACTAAAGCTAAGCAAATGCTGAAGTCAGTAAGTAGGCTGATTGTATACTAATGATATTTCATCTCAGAAGGGTTTACCAGTTAACAGTTTTTTTTCTTAGATACCCTTGGATAGAATTCTTTTAGAGACAGATGCACCTGATGCATTACCAAGATTGGACAATGTTTCTGTATCACCAGTCCATGTTCACAGTTCAGATGCAGATACTGAAAAGCGTCACATAGATTCAGAGTCACAGGCTGCTAATGCATCAAATGAGTCCTTGAACCATCCAGAAAATATCCATATCGTAAGTTGTTTTCTTGGATGCTCTTGTCTAAAATTTCTTTCCAGAAGCTTTTTCCTGACTTTTTCGTTTCATGTGCTCATGTACTCTTTCAATAATAAAGTAGTCTTGGAGGCAAAAGCTAGAACCAAAAGAAAAATGTACAACAAAATATGCTTGCTCTCCTTCCTGTGTGCAATTTGGAAAGCATAATTGCATATTAATAATACTGAAGTCCTTTTGTTTAAATTGCTGAAGCAATCCAGTGCCAGTTTGAAGCATTGAGCTTTCCATCTTAAAAAAACAGGCATGTTTACTTCATATTAATAAATAATGGGATGATAAAATACTTCTAACAAACTGTGGGGGGTCCCTTATTTTCCAGGTTTTGAAGTATGTTGCATCACTCCTTGAAATGCCAGAGTCAGAATTGGCAGAGCTGAGTTACAAGAATGCTACCAAGCTGTTTTCTTATCCTGGCTCCAAAGTTCAACCTGAAGCTGAAGCCATCTAAATGGGGTTCAACACTACCTTACTCACTGGTCAGCAAATCTGAAACCTGTTCTTTTGAGTTTTTGACTCCTGTTTTTTCTCCCCTTTTGAATGCTCTTTGTGTACCAGGACTCCCAGAAGGCCAGAAACAATGCTTGAAAACTGAAATGGCTGTACATTACTGTTAATATTGGTGAAATAAAATGGATATTGAATCAAAGCAGCGCAACTGGTATCCTGCAAACATTTTTATCTGCGATTTTTTGTTTGATGAGAAGTACAGTACTCCCTCCGTTCAAATTTATTGGTCGTTTTGGCATTTCTAGAGAAAAGCCAAAACGGCCAATAATTTAGGATAGATGGTGGTACTTAGCAATAAGACATCCACATCAGTGGTATACAGAAAACAGCCAGTGTTCCTTTTTCTTACTTGTGCAGCAGTCTTTGGCGCTGAAGACTAGAACAGATAGATACACTGATTTTGCCTTAAATAGTAACCTGAAAACAGTCTGCGTAATGAGGATTTAGTTGATACTATATATTGTAGGTTTCAGTGGCAACATCTGAGTTCTGCCTTGATAACCTGTTAGCAGAGTTCACTTGCATCCGTACACCGCTCAAAGTTTTGCTAGGCGCTAGGCGAAATCTAGGCGATGACCCTTAGCCTAGCGACTAGTTCAGCCTAGGCTAGCCTAGGCGATGCTAGGTGTTTTTCTAGTGGTTTTGCCAATTTATATTTATATATCAATATATAATATATACATTTATAGCACAAATCATGAATAATTTAGATAAAAAATAGGGAAGGACCAGTAGACATACCTTAGGTCCTTTGTCCTTGCAGTTGATACACTACTGATCACTGAATTTCCTGCAGCACTGCTGCAATAGAAGTGGACAACACTTTTAGATGCAATTGGGCTGAGCCTTCTCCCATCCATTATCAGCATTTCAGCAGCATAGGATAGCCTTTTGAAATCACAAACATGAAGGGACAGCAGGCAGCAACACAGAATATAAAATGGATAGTAGACTAGCAGTACATTACATCACATGATTGATGATTCTCAGTTCTCACAACACAAAACAAGCACACAGCAGGAGTTCTAAGTTCATAAGTTAAAGATACATGGATGCATAATAAAAGCTAAAACATGACATGAAGCTGTCTCACACTTCTTCAGTAGGGTTCATCCATCACATAGTCATCCTCATCTTCATCAAACTCTTCTTCTTCGGACTCAAACTCTTCTTCATAGAGCTCTCTCACCCTTGCACTTTTACGCAGCTCTAGTTCTTCTGCTCCCATTGCATCTCTAAGCACAGACCAAGGTATCCCTGTACCTTCCATGAGTTCTTCCTCATCTCTAAAGACAACTAATGCACAATCATCTCCATTCTCTTGGAGGAAACCTTGAGCTTCAGTTGTATCACTAGACAAGAGAACATCAGTAATTTTCTTTGACTTGATCTTTGCTCTCTTATTAATCAGCCTGTTGTTGAATTGAATGTAGACCAACTTATTGAGGCGGTCTGTAGTAAGCCTATTTCTCTTCTTAGTGTGCACCTATAAATTAAAAATAAGAGCATTTTTAGTTCTGCAATTTAATTGTAATGCTGCTGAAATTTTGATAACAGATAGGTACTAACCCCATCAAACCCACTCCAAGTTCTTTCACGACCAGAAGAACTTGTTGTTAAAGATAGAATCTTGGTAGCCATCTTCTGTAGAGCTGGTGTTTCAGTTCCATAAAGCCGCCACCATGATGCTGACATAAAAAACCTCTCTATTAGTTAGTAGGCACAACATATTTCTTATTAGATGAACACAACAAACAACCATGTAAAATCAGCAAACAACTTTTACCTGGATTATAATCAAAGTTTTCAAAGGTCCTTGCAAGCTTCTTGCTAAATGGTCCTCCTCTATTCTGATACTTCTGGAGTTCAATGTTGACAGCTTGTTCTTGCATGTCTTCATCATGACAATAAAAAGTCTCCACACAACTGATAAATCCTTCTGTCATTTTGGGAGCATCAAAGATTGAAGGGTCAGCATAATTGTAGTGTGGATTCAGCAAATAAGCTGTCAAATGCAATGGAGAATCAAGTCTTCCAGCCATTTTCTTGTCAACAGCAGCAATAACATCCTTGAAACGGGACTCATTATTGCCAAGGGCCTCTTTGACCTGTCTCTTTGCCTTTAATAGTTCTCCATATACAAAACCCATGGACGGCTCACATCTCCATCAACCAAACGGAGAACTTTGAACAATGGCTTAAAAACAGCCAATGTCAACTTCACATCCTTCCAAAAGTTTGGATTCAATATAGTTGTTGTGGCATTTTTTCCCTTCTTTGATTTCACATCATTCAATGAGTCTCACCTACTATGCACCACCATCTTTCTTAGTTGATCCTTCTTCTCTTGTATGCTGTTCAAAGTCAAATAATTTGAAGCAAACCTAGTCACTCCTGGCCTTACTATCTCTTTGCCCTCAGTGAAGTACCTCATGCACTTTAGTGTTCTTGTGTGCCCATAGACAAATATGGTGAATGCCTTTGCTTGGTCAATCACCTTCTTGAACCGAGGCATGTTGCCAATTCCTTGGAGCATCAAGTTGATTGTGTAAGTTGCACAAGAGGTCCAAAAGATCTGTGGTCTCTTCTCATGCAGTAGCTTCTTTGCTCCCATGTTGTTAGAAGCATTGTCAGTCACAACTTGCACCACATCATTTGGACCAATATCTTCGATTGCTTTGTCCACTAGTTCAAAGATGACTTCACTTGTGTGTGACACATCTGACATCTCTTTTGAGGAAATAAAATCGGTTCCATCAACACAATTAGTGCACACATTCATTATGCTTCTCCTCTTCTTATCTGACCAAGCATCGATCATAATAGAGTACCCATTCTTCAACTTCTCGGCTTCACGTTCTTGCAGCAAACTCTTGGTTCTTGCATATTCTTCTTCCAACAATCTTCCTCGCAGGTCAAACATAGTTGGAGGTTCAATTCCAGGCCTAAATTGTTCAATTGCTTCACACATTTGCTTGAACTCATCATTGTCACATGCATTGAATGGTATTGCTGTCAATGTTACAAAAAAAAAGAAAATTAGTGTTCAGTTCAGTACTACAGCAAGGCATCCAATGAAATTGAAATCTGAAATAAAAAAACAGCAAGGAAATTGCCATGGTTATAGGCCCATCTTGCAATATATTTATGCACCTCATGTAATTTTTCTTTCCAAAGTTCCTTGTTCAGCTTCTGTTGAGTCAAAGATTTAGATTTGGTTGCTGTAGGATCAATAGCTTTTGTCCATTTGTCCATGGGGCCTAATTTGTGAGGCTCTGAACTTCCAACACAAGTGACTTCCTCTGACCCTAGAACCCTAGATACATGAACTTCCTCTATAAGTTCTAGCTCACGAACAATCTTCTCCTCCCTCTTCCTTTTTGCTTCATCTAGTGCTTTCTTGCACTTTTCTTGAGCCTCTAGCAACTTCTCTTTGGTGGTCTTCGTGCCCTGGCATTTCTTCACATTCTTTCCTTCCTGGGCGATATGTTGCTTCAACCGATAAACCCCTCCAAACATTTGCTTGTCACACAGTATGCACTTCACCTTGTCCTTGTTGTTCGGATCAACAAGAACCCCATACTCCCATCCCACATCATCTGAATTCCTTCTCAAGACAGTTGCTCCCTCTGTTCCACTTGCAGTTTCAGATTGACCCTATGTTCCCGTCATCTGAGTTCAAGCCATCAATCAACAAATTACAAACATATACATGCAATCGCCAATCAGTCAACAAATTCATATATATATATATATATATATATATATATATATATATATATATATATATATATATATATATATATATGCAGTCAACAATTTCACATATTCATCATAGTAGATACATGGAATCATTCAACAATTTCAGATTTTAGAAACATAGGAGAGGAGAGCAGGGAAAAGGAACAACTGCAGGGAAAGAAAACAGAGGAGACCGGCTGTATATGTTTGCAAACAGACAAAGCAGGGGAAGGAAACAGAGGAGCAGGGGAGGAGGACATATAGACCTTGGGAGGAGACCGGCGGGGAGGAGCTTCTGGCGACGAAGGCGAAGAGACCGGCGAGGAGGAGCACGACCCGCGGGGACGAGCTCGTCGAGGAGGAAGGAGATCGACGGGGAGAAGCGTCGCCGGCGGGTCTTGCCAGGCGGGGAGGAGGCTCGCCAGCGGGATCTGCTTCCAGGCGAGCAGTGCAGCCGGCGGGACCTGCTTCCCGACGGGGAGGAGCACGACCCGCGGGGATGAGCTCGTCGAGGAGGAAGGAGACCGGCGGGGAGCAGCGTCGCCGGCGGGTCTTGCCAGGCGGGGAGGAGGCTCACCGGCGGGATCTGCTTCCAGGCGAGCAGCGCAGCCGGCAGGACCTGCTTCCCGGCGGAGGTCGAGGTCGAGGCGAGTACGACTTTCTCTCCCCTTCTCCCCCTTATCCTTCTCCAGCGCAGCAGCGCGCGGCTTTTTCCCGCGCCTGGAGCTCTGCGCGCGCGCGCTCGCCCGCGGAGCCATTCTTTCGCGCGCGATGGCTCGCGTCGTCCGCCTAGCTCGATTCCGCACCGCCTAGGGCTCCTGAGCGCCGCCGAGTCGCCGCCTAGCTCCGCCTAGTCGCTCCGCCCGCCTAGAGGGGCGATTACCCCCCTAGTCCAAGCGCTAGGCCATAGCCTAGCGACTAGGCGCGCCTAGGCGAGACGTAATCGTCGATTTTCAAAACTTTGACACCGCTACGGTCTACAAGGATGGGCTGGCTCTGGTGGTGGTAAAACAGAGTGAGAGAAGGGAACATAATATGGTCTGAAATCTAATGGCTGCCATGCCGCTTGCAAAGTTGCATTCAACGAGACAGTCAATAGGATTGAGGATTGTGTGTGTCAAACAATGGACTATTCTGGGATATCAGTTGCCACTTCCCAGGTCATTCCGTACCAAGCAAAATCCTTAGCAGCCTCGGTTGGTCCATACAAGCAATTACGACTTACGAGATACTCCTAGGTTCGTACTTCAGGCACTCAGAAGAACGCGTTCTTTTATGCTAGGATAAGCTCAGGTCCGAGCCAACGAATGAACCGGCCGGTCCAGTTCCAATATTCTAGTCTTATCGTTATTCCACTGAGGAACTACCCGGTGAGAAAAATCAACAGCCGGGCCCCATGGCCGCATAATGCACGTCAACTTCTCGACATGACGCCGACCAATGGAGTACACGATTCGGCGGCTAGCACACGCCCGCCTTGGACCTGAGAAGCGAAACAAATCAGCCGAAGGGTCGCGCTCACCGGAGGAATCGAAGGGAGGAACCGACCAAAGTAAACACATCATGTCGACGCTTTCCCGCTCTATCTGAGAACATATCACCGTAGCAAGAACACATATTTTTGCAGTATCGAAGTACCGAAGAGATTAACCAGAGGAAACATGAACATGTAAGCATAGGTATGTACATCCGATTACAAAATTATGAAGAAGCCATAATGAAACTATACTACGGAGGTGCTCTGATCAAAACACGTATGTACAAGCAAGCGCGGAAGCAACTGAGCATGAGCATCGATCGACGATCGTACACAAAAAGGCGCGGCAGCGCGGGCTGGCGCAGCTAGCTAAGCTGACGCGTACACGCCAGCGTCGGGCGGTGGCGCCTGGCGGCCACACGGGCCGGAGGCGAGGAGGGAGAGCCAGGCCAGGACGGGCGTGCCGAGGAGGACGAGCCCCGCGGGCACCATCCAGAGCCGCGCGTTCGCCGGGTGGAACGCCAGCGCCCACCACACCAGCAGCGCCGCGCCACCGAGCCCCACCGCGACGAGGCCCGCGGCCGTGGCAGACAGCCACGACGAAGAGCACGGCGCAGAACGCCGCAGCAGGCAGCCGGGCTCCGTGGCTGCGGGGTGGTCCGGCTTCTCAGGCCCCGCGGCGGCCTCCATGGTGGATCGGAGCTGCTAGTGGAGAGCCGACACGCGGCCGGCCCGGTCCAAGCTTTGTGTTGTGTGCATATATAGCCGGCCCCGCGCGCCCGCGAGTTCGGTGCACCGGCGGCGGTCCTGCCGTTGGTCAGGCTGATAATATTAGATGCGCGCACTGCTTTTGCTCGGTTCTTCTTCAATTTTGCTTGGGGTCATCGTGCGCTTCTGTAGCACCACTCGTTGGCCTGGCTTGCGACTGCGATGCACCATACGCTGGACTACCGGGCTCGACCCGTCGACCGTTCGAAGACAGCAACTAGCTGTAGCCTGAGAAAAAAGTAGACCCCAGAACACGTACTTGGACTACCGGGCTTGCGACTGTTCAGCATTTGCAGACCCCAGAAAAAAAGTAGAGCAAGAGGACATTGTTCCAAACCCAAGATATTAAAAAGTGAAAAAGAAGAAATTGCACTTGGAAAAGAGCGGATTGGTCGCATTCTTCTCGTCAACATGGAACAAATTGACCAATTTGCAGCCATTCCTAGTCAACCAGAGGAAACTAAAGCAAGCACAAGCAAGCCTAGGAAAAACTCAACAAGGCAGACGAAACTACAGCAAGGGCAAACCAACGAAACACAGAACCAGCTTGCACTTCACGTTGAGTGCCAGTCTTTCTTCCAACGATATCATTTGTGCCCGTACTCGGACAGCTCGCGGACATTGATAGGCCAAGCCGCAACCGCGTCGCCGTCGAGAAGTTTACCGGCGACGATGAGGTTGGCAGCTTCAGTCGGGTGGAACGCATCCCAGAACACATACTTGGAGCGGTCACTGCACAGCGAGGAGCTGGAGTTGGCAGACGCCAATGCATAGAAACGGAGGGAAGCTGCCGCCGCAGCACGGGTCCAGCGCATCATCGAAACCTGGCGGTGCCAAAGAGCCAAGATTTCATTTACCACAGGTGAACCTTTGTATGTTCAGTAACAGCAGGAGGTGTGCTGTTTGTTGGAGTTCTGAAATCTGCATTTTGCAGGAAGCAGAACTAAGAAGCAACGAAGGAAAGCGTACCATATTGGCGGTAGTTCTGAATGATCTCCATAACGATCTTGTACGTGTCTGTGTACACAAATTTACTCTCCGGACCCAACTCCTGGTTCATCTTATCTACCATCCTCTTCAGTTTCTTGTTGTAACCTTCAGTGACTCGATTCGCTGATGCTGAGCACTCACCTGCAGGCATGAACTCCAGAGCACGAACGTACGGTATACAACCGAGCGGCCCAACATCGGACACAACAAACTTCCTAGCCCCGAGTTCATTTAGCCTCTTCATTGAGGAAAAGAAAATGTATGTCAGTTTTGAAATAAGAGCAGTCGACTGAAAACTTCAGTAGACGTTTAACTGCGACTGAGAAGTTGGTAGAACCTTCAGATAAAATGTCAGGTTGGAAACCAATGCATCCTGGAAATGTGATGGATCAGGCTTCTCTCGTCCAAAGAACGGCACTGAAGGTGACAGATACTCCAGGATGTCATTGGATCCTGCTGCTACAATAAAGAGTGCCTTCTTGAAGAAATATGTTGCAGCTTCTTCGTCCATCGTCTCCCGTATCTGTGATCTGGTCTTTTCGAAGTATCTTATTTGCTGTCCTAGCGAAATTCTTCCAATCTACAATGATGTTTTATATTTAAGAAAGAAACATTGAAAAAATGGTAATGACAGCCAAGTAATTAATGAAGTCTCGTACATAAAAAGAACCAGTATCATCAAAGATGCCAGAAGAACCAGGCCATAGTTGATCCCGCTGTTGGTCATTGCAGCACTTGAGTTCGGGGCCAAGAAGGGTGGAGGAAGAGATTTCTGCCCCAGGGATTCACCTGACAGCGCAGTGCCTGAAACGTTAAATCCAAGTATATATGCAATCACAGTTATTCATGAAACTCAGACCTGACATTACCCATGATATCTGCAATGGTCATCCCATTTGTGAACCTTCCGGTTGGCTTGCCACCGGAGAATGCAAAATCGACGCCATATGGTGGAGTGCACGGGGGGACAGAGTCATCTTGTGCCTTTTGCATTGCAAACTTGAGACCTGGGGAGACATGTCTGAGGTTGCATATATTCACATGCACATGCACTTGGCATTGGCATGCTTTTTGTGTGTGCATACGTTGCCTGCACAGGCTGATGTACACTTTCACATGGTCATTGCCTCATTGGCCTGACTGCCTCATTGTAAGCGACCGCGTCTTCGTCTCCTCCGTCGTGGGTGACGCGTTGCTCGAGTTCGAGGCGGCCGCCTCTGGCGAATCCAAGGTCACCGCGCTCCTTGCCTGCCTCACTGCTGCACCGTCCTCAACCTCGAGCAGCCTTCCTCGAGCACGTCCAGGCTCCCCTCACGATCTGAGTCAGCGTGGGGCCTGGGCGAAGCCAGGATAAATGGCCGCCGGGGTCGACACTAAGTACGAACTGTCTAACTGAGTATTAAAATATAGGTTGAGATAATATAATACCATACATAATGTAAAATTAATACGAGCCTGATGGCCTCGAACTTCTTCGGCTCGCGCAAGGAAGAAGAACCTGGCGGCGGCGCGGAGAGAGAGACGGCTGCCAGCGCAAGGGAGACGAGCCTGGCGGCGGCGCGGGGGACGACGCCGGACGTAGGAGCGCAGAGGCGCAGCGGGAGAGGAAGAAGCAGAACCGTGATGGAGAAAAGCTGGGCGTGAACCGTGATGGAGAAAAGCTGCTTTCATGTTGTATTCAAGAATCGGGTCGGCCGCGAGGTTGAGAGAAGAGAGTTTTACCGTGTACCATTAAAAAAAAGAAGATGATTTGTACCATTAAAAAGAAGAAGATGATTTTTACGTCTCTAAAAAGTTCAGACGCACCCAAATATTATGCATGTAAGCTTCTTCTCTTTTTTTTTTTCCTCTCAAACCATTCCATTCACTTTCATCATAAAAAGTCCAAACTGACTTCTGCAGGACCTGAACGTGGACTCCGGCTGCTGATGCGCATGCCACTGACATGTGAGCCCTCCATGCCTTAGGCCACTGACCTGTGAGCCCTCCACGCAGTCCGCCAGCCAGAAGAGTAGAAGACTGAGAAGATAGCTAGCAGATTCACTCACTCACGTTAACTTGCATCTCAAACTTGCACAAATTTACAATCCATCTCACATAATTCAACAAAATCTTAAAAAATAAAAAAAATCTGAAAATAAAAAACATGACAATAACATTTCTGGTGACAAATAAAAAAAATCTGAAAAAAAACAGCAACGAGCTCGCCTCCGGCCGGCGGCGGCGCGCACGGCATATTCGTGTCCAGCGGCATCAGCGGGTTAGGCTACGGCGTCGTCGTGTCCAGCGATCCTCCTCGTGATCACCACCGTCGCGCTCGCCATCTACTTCTGCACCCGCACGTCCATGCCTGTGTCCACCGCCGCGCCACGGCCATGACATGGAGCGGGCCAGCGGGCCAGCGGGGCATCGACGAGGCGACGTTCCCGGCGGTGGCCCAGCGCGGCCACCACGAGCGGCTCGGACGCCTCGGGCAGCTCCGCGGCAATGGAGACGGTGGCCTCGGCAGCTCCTACGACGGCG